GGTAAATATATATCAAGTGTGGGCTAGTGGGTCTGGCAGTTGACCATCAACCTGGATTGCAGGTTCTCAGCACTTCTGTTCTCGTTGCTAAAAATTCCTCGTTGCTTTGATAATGCGTGGAAATGATGAAACTTCATTTATATTACCACTTGTAGAAGAACAGTTTTATAGGCCTCCATGTCTACTTGACCTCTGAGAAATGCATAGTTGGCTGATAAGATGGTTATTTTCTAGGAAAAGCACACCTTCCGTATTTAATCCAGTTACGCCTGAGCAGAAACCTTTCAGAAACCTCTGCGGATGGATTGCTGCAGTACCCTGTGTTTGCTGGCACTGAGTGCTTGTGGGTGATGGGTAGAGGATAACTGCATTCCAGCCCAGGTGGGGGCAGCGATCTCAGTGAACCAAGTGCTCCGAGGCACTCAGAGGTCTCGTGACTGGCATGTCATTCTCTGGCTTTTGCTTTCCTTCTTGCCCTTCCTCTCCGTCCCTGGTGTTACCAGGGTTTGAAAGAGCAGTAATCTCCATTTGCCATAGGTTCTCTCTCCAGTCTTGTCATCTTTCTTGTTGCTCTGCAGCACAGTATTGCATGCCTGGACCTAACTCATCTTTGTTGGCACATAGTTGACCCTTAGAGCCTCTCTGTCCCCTTCCCATCAGACTTAAAAGTCTTCCTGAGTGATGCTTCTTGCACTCCTAAACCTAGTAGTACAGAAAAGTACAGAGGTACAGAAGAGGGATCATGTGTGTCATTAGGGTGCCATAACATTACCCCTCATTTTGCATAAATATCAGAAACAGTGGTTATTCTGTGAGACAGCCCCTAGCTGTTTGTAACTTCCTTTAAGGTGTACTTCTTGACTAAAGGTCTGAGTTTCCATATTTTATTTTAGAGTACGATGTGATTCACCTTGGTAAATCTGGGAATAGGAGATGGAAAACTGAACAGAGACAAAACCAGCCTGCAACAAACCATCTGTCCCCGTTAGCGTTCAGTACTTCTTTGAGTAGGTAGAATGAGGGATTGTAGCTGGGCTGCCCTTCCTCTGGAGCTGTTAGGTGAGGTGTGCCATGTTTTATCCCTTCCTTATAACTTGCCATCTCTGACATTTCACATGCTGCACCTCTCTGAGGTCCCGGAGCTGAGTCTGTTGAGGGGATATTGCTGCTGCTCTCCCTAGATGAGAGCTGCGCAAGAGATTGGCTTGAAAGCCCTGGCCCATCTAGATTTTTCCTACGTTTTAGTCTTCTTTAAAACCTTTTGTGGTGTCCTTTCCAATTATACAATTTTGAAAACGCTCCAGGATTGCTTAGAAGTGCTGTGGCCCACAGAGACTTGTACTTCAGCCACGCTCTCCTGTCTCCTCTCTCCCCGTGTTGCTTGTTTCTTTATGCTTATGCTAGTAAGCTCTTTTAGGCAGCACTTGGCACCACGCATGTTGATCGGTGACTAAGATTCCAGGTGCTCGGTAATACCAACAGATAATAAGGGTGGGAATTTAACATGGGGATGTTTTTTTCAGACTAAACCCCGAGGTCTCCGTGTCAGCACCAGGAGGTGATGAGGTACTGTGGGAACATTGCCCAAGCAGTTTTCAGACTCACTTTCTGACTCATTATCCTAATGGTTATCAGGAAGAGCGATACCATGTCCTCAGAGACCTGTCTTCAAGCGCTGCAAGGAAGCAGGCTTAGCTGCTGGAGCAGGGGGATGCCCCCAGCTCGAACCACGGCTCTGAGCTGCTGGATCTGGCAAGGGAGCTCCTGCCTTCCCTCTGAGCGCCTGCCGCTCCTGCTCTTGCTCCGTCTCTCCTAATAGCCTAAAGAAGGGACAGAGTTCCCCGACGGGAAGCGATTGCTTTGGAAACCTCGCCGAACATCTGTGTCCAATCAGACCGAACATCTCCACGAGGCAGAACAGCGGCCCCGTAGCCGAGCATCAGCGGTAGCGAGGAGCCTTGGCACGGGCTGCGCTTCCGACCGTGCGGCTCCGAAGGGGGTTGCGTCAGGGGAGCAGCCTCCCAGGGCTTGCAGTCGTGGTGGTGCTTTGTTTCGTAGCCTGCCAGTGACAAGCTGCAGAACAAAACCACAAAGCTCGAGATGCAGCTCGAAATTACAGGGTTTGCGGAGCCAAACCACAAGGCTGAGAATTTCAGTAATTATAAGCCAGGAAAACAGTTTTTAGTTCTTTGTGAGTAAGGAAAATCCCAGGGCTTTGCCTACTGTGTAGGTAGAAATATGAGAGCCGTCTGCTGAGACTCCCCATCTCTCACTGGAATTATTTTAGAAATTACAAATGGAAAACATACCAAAATGAAAGATGACCTGAGATGTCCCTCATTAAACTAAGGGGAATTGCACAGAAAAGTTTCAGGGAACAGCACTGAGCAAGCAGAAATAAGACCAAAAGGACAGACCAGAACAATTTCAGAACTGTGTGACAGCCAAGGAAAGTAGCTAGGGAAATACTCTGGATAAATGAGAATAGAAACAGCCACAACAAAAGGACCAAAGTAGACAGGTGTATGCCATGGGTAGCATCTGTGTTGGTGCTGCACTTGCACTGAACTGATGGTGAGGAGCACAGATTTGGCCCTAGAGGTTCACACAGCACTGGAAAAATGAGCAACTGTGATGTGTGTAATTACATTTTCCCAAATTGCTCAAACAACAACAAAGTCTTGAGACTTTTTATGCTTTGTTATTTTTTCTCTTTAACATTATATATGTGTAATGTAAAAAATAAAATAAAATAAAAGCTCCTTAACGAGCAGAACTTCTGTAGAATCTTCTGTGGAGTTTGAATCCAAACAAAATGCAGTTTTGTTTTAAATACCTGGCAGACCTTTGATTTGTTTGCAAAATTTAAGCGATGCCTTATTTAGAGCTGCACGTGAAACCTTAACTCAACTTACAAATTTATTTTAGTTTCAGGATCACACGGTGTTTTTCCAGGAAGTGTCTGCTTGAAACCATGATCAGATGGTTTCATCGAATGAGTAGCTGTTCAAGATTTTTGTTTATCATCTTCGTTTCTGTGAGACCTGGAGCATGCTTAATGCAAGCGGAATCTGAGATATTTTTTTCTTCCCTGGAACTGGAAGACCTTTGCTTTACATGTGCTCTTAGGAAATTCTGAAGGTTTAATATTTATCCATTTTTAAATGGATTTTCACAAGGATACAAAACTCAGCTGACATACCAGATCCCTCAAATCCGTTGGTCAAATGGATGTAGTACTTCGTTAACATTTGTAAAGTAGAATTTTTTTTCCAGTACTTTTGGTTCAAAAATGGTAGGAACACTCAGTGGTTGAAAATGTGGTGTTGTAATGGAGAGTGTTAGATCACTTTGACTGCAGGCATTCTTGCTAATTCAACTGTGATGAAAGAACACGAGTATTAGTTAGAATTTTTTTCCATTTAGGGTCCTGAGAGCTCTTCACTGTTGTCAGCGTGTGAACTTTAACTCTCAGAATCCTTGTTTTGGGCAGCAAAAGTGTATTGTGTTTGGGCAACTTGGAGGTGGCACCAAAACAGGGCATCGGTGGCATTTGGCTGTCTTAGACTATTGGTTTGGATAACGTGTATCCTTATTTCTTCAGTGAATTGCCTGTATTAATGCTTTTTGTAAGGTAAGAGCCATTTACCAAAGTTTCCTTCTTCAGGATCTGAAATTCAGTATGAAATATGGACATAGCCATTAGATACTAGACATGGGAGTGGTCTACACGGGAAGGCTCTGTAAGTGTTTGGTGCCACGTGTTGTGAGAGCTCACACAAGCTGTGCTCAGTGCAAGCAGTGTGAGAGCAGCAGTCGGCATGGGCTGTGGCATAATTACCATCAGTAATTACAGGGGTGGTCGCTACTGGCCATGGGAGGCTCCTGAGGATTTCGTGGGAGAACATTAACATTTTCAAAAGTGCCTTGAAAGCAACTGTAAAATCACTGTTATGCTGCAAGCAACCCCAAACTGGTGTAAATAATGACTTGCTGTTTACCTAGCGTGTGGTTTTTATGTGGAGTTTAATGTCTGTCTGTTGCTCGCCTGGGAGATCGCAGGGAAGATGTGAGAAACGGATTGAACTGGATTCCCCTGCCAGAGCTGTCGGCAGATTAACATTCCTGCTATCCTCCCTCTGCCTCGCTCTGCGTTTTTAACCCAAAGAGCAGTGAAACATGAGGATGTCATGGGGCTGGAAGTCCACGAACAAGGAGCACCTGGCGGCTCTGGGAGCGGTGCTGTGCTCATCCCACAGGTGGCTGGACCAGGGGGAGCACAGATTTGCATTAATGTGGCAGAGAGACACAAGCCTCCCTCTAGGCAGGGCTATTGAGCAGGGCAACAATTCCAGGCCAGCGTTCTCCCACCTCACTTTGCAGGGTGAAGGCTTTAAATAAATATACACTGGGAAAAATAATGTGTTTTTTTTTTTCCTTGTGCTATGAACATGCATGGCCCTTCACAAGACTGTATGGCACCTTTATAAGCTTATGACTGAATTCACCTAAAACCTGACAGAAGGTAATAAATCTAGGATAACGTAGGAAGTATGCAGCTTACACACAGAGCAGAGCTGTGCAGGTCATTTTTCCTTCTCTGAATGTTCTTTAAAACATTTGCTATCCAAGAGTGCATCCCCTTGCAGGCAGGTGGGAGAGATCACAGCTGTGTGCTGGAATGCTTAAGCTATTAATCAGACCAGCTGAAGTGCCAATAGGAGTGAAAACGTGGCACCAGGGAGGGGGTTATTCATGCTGAAGCCCAGGCCCCTCTGTTTTCCTTACTCTCGTCATCCAGCCCTAGCTCACGTGGATCTGCAGAGGATGCCATCACCCCTCCAGGGTGCAGCCTCCCACCAGCAGCTTATACCAGTGCCTTGTGGCAGTGAGCAGTGACAGCAGGAACTGCTGCCAGTAGTGTATTTTAGTAGAATAATAGCAATCTGCTATTTTTTGTGTATAATTATTTGCCTTTTTTTTTTTCTTTTTGTTACCAGAGTGCCTCTGATGGCTTTTGGAAGTCAGTCGCAACCCGCGTCCCGAGAGAGCCTCATGAGATACGTATCCTGAATCCCTACTTCATCCAGGAGGCAGCTTTCAGCTTCATTGGACTGCCTTTCAACAACGGCCTCATGGGCCGAGGGGTAGGTATAAAACAGAGCAGGCAGAACCAAGGGAAAGGGCGAGAACAAGCAGCAGAGCAGTAGGATTTTGCTGTTCTTTTTCCTCTTGGCCTCCACAACTGAAGGGAAGGGCCTTTAGCTCTGTTGTGGGGGCAGTGCTCAGCCTACTTAAGGGAAGGCAAGATCCTTCCTTTTTGGTACCAGGAGATGGCTGTTCTGAAGCCCCTTTTCTGGAGGCAGCTCTGAGGCTTCCAGCACCAGCTGGGTGATTTCCTGCCATGTGCAGCCTGCTAGAAGAGTACTTCTCTGTGTGGCTCCTTCCCAAAAGGAACGAGGAACCCTGCTCTCTGTATCCTCAGTGCATCTGGACGTGGTGCAGGTCATGCCACAATTTTATAATTTGCTGTCCTCAAGGAGGCTGCAGCCTAAAATCACTGATATCGCTCTGCTGGTTCTGTATCCCAGGTTTACTGTAAAAGAGTGTAAAGGTTTTATTATGAAACTTAGGAAACCTAAGAAATTCTGATCTTACAGTGGCAGGTTTTAGATGTAAAAGCTTACAGAAGAAAACAACGTAAATATAGTTTTAGGTCATAGTTATTAACAAAACACCTTTGTGATCATTCTAGTATCCCTATCGTTATAGGATATTTGCGGTCTCACAGCATGGATTTGGACTAGACAGAATAGTGCCTTATTTTCCATGCTCTAATTATGTAGTGAATTCTTTACAATATTAGAGAAATTTATTTCCTGAAGATCAAGTAGGTGGGTGCCTGGAGGTAAGAAATCCACTGCTTAAAATGCGGTGTGCAAGATGTGCAGACAGATTCAGCCACAGAGAATCATTCTTTTCAAAATGAGAGCTTCTGGCCTTGCTGCCTATGTATGTACAGAAGTTGTTGTATGGTCCTGGAAACACAGGATTTTCACTCCAAGTACTGAGGGTATCTTACCCAAATATTCCCTTCAGCTAGGATCTAGTGTACTTCACCTCTCTGCATTCTCCGTGACTTATCCTTAGAAGGATGTGGTCTTGATTCGTGTTCCAGAAAATAAGGACTGATGCCCCAATGAGGGACAGAAATCATCAGGACTTTGCTTTTATTTTTTTCAGATTTGTTTTTATTTTTAAACACGTTATTTTAATACGCAAGATATTACTTAAGCTGAGAGGAGAGGAGAGAATCCGGAAATGAAAATGCTGTGAACTGAAGTTTATGAGGTTTTGATAGGTTGTTTAACACAGATCAGATTGGGAAATGAAGGCAACTAAATTGAAACCTCATGTTTCACTTCATGAAAGTGCATTAAAAAATAGTTTATGGAGCTTTAAGGCAAGCAATCTTTGCCCATGACCCCTGCTAGGTTGTGTAAATTGTAGTTTGTTCCTTGAGATGGGGCAGAAAGAGCTCTGCAGGTGCAGGTACATGTGTGGGGCCGGGATGTTAGTAGACCCCGTGTGTCTGGGCAACGACGGTTTAATATACTGATTCTGTCAGAGTTTAAGAACAGGGGGAGAGTACCTGTAGCCTGTTGGTATAAATTTTACTGCAGATGTCAACTATAGACTGGTGTTACAGAGCTGATTGGACTTCATTCTAGTGAACGCTGCTGCATCAGTGCGAATGCTTCAAAGGAAGCCACTGCTGCCAGTGGAAAGAGGCTGCGGAGAATCCTGGTGATACAGATTTGACCTTGCTTCTCTGAGAATTTAAATGGGAATAATGGAAATCAGAGCCATGTAGACCAAGAATCCAACTCTGATTAATGATTTGAGAGAGATCCAGCAAGATGAGTTGGCCCTGTGAGGCAAGCTAGAGCAAGGAGCATTGCTCCACAAGAAAGCTATGTGAACATAGCTCATATAGCAGCTGCAGAGCATAGCTGCTTGGGTTCGGTCATGCTGTAGGGCTGGCAAGACGGCTTGGGAAACTTTATTCAAGAAAAAAGCAACCTGGATGGAGGCAGGTTGGTGCCTCTGTGCTGAAAAGCAGGGTTGTGTGGTGGGCAAGCTACACACAGGAGGATCAGGGCTGGGGATGCCTCAGTAATCGAGGCCGACATGAAATCCTCACAAAGAGCAGTAATATTCCACTCCTCTTTGGTCCTGATGCCTAAATAAACTTCAGTGTGCCTCCTGCACACCACATATGGTAACAATGTGCTGCCAATTAACTTTGTAATTTGGTGGCTTTTTCAGCAAGGTTGAGGAGAGCTAGTAAAATAGTTCAGGGCTGATCTCAAAGCGTTTTTTCCCAGGATTCAATAAAGGCTGAATGTAGTAACAGCCTCTGCTTTGATAATATAATTTGGGCCAGATGGTTCTGGAGGATAGCAGGGGGGTGCAACTCAGACGTATTTAGATTGAGCTTGTGGTATTGGTGGCTTGCAGTCTGAGTGAGCAGCAAAACTGGTCACCCACAGCGAGCACTGACTTCTCTCTGGGATGAGTAAAGCTTTTCAGTTTTCTCAGTCCGTTTACTTAAGTCTTCAGAAAAGGGAGAGCTCTTTCCTACTCCATAGAGACTTACCTTTTCTTGGGATAAAATGATGATAAAGAACTTCAGTGTAGGATCCTAGTAGCATCTGGGGAAATTTAAAGACATGTCAATGCCTGAAGCTGGTTTAATACAAGAGAAATGAGTTAATCTTGTTGATTAAAGAATCCTCTTAATGAGTGGGCACAGGCCTGGCTGACTAACTAGACAGTGGTGTATGCCTGTGGTTTGTGTTTTGGTGGAAGTTCTGTGTATACAGGTCTTTTGGGCTTGAACCCAAACAGCTGTGGTATTGCAGCGGGTAATTCAGGCATGCAAAAACCTACCTTACACTGCAGACAGATTACTGGGGGACAAGCACAAACATCAGTTCAGAGGTGGCATTGCCTGTTGCATGTAAAACAATCTGATGGTTATTGCTGTGGTGCTTTTTACTCTATACTGAATAGTCCTATCCACTCTGTAGTACTCAGGGCCATTTAAGCAGGGACTTTCTGGCTGCTGAGCCATGGTAAGAGGAGGCTGGGAGGGCATTTCAGGTGACACAAGTTGTCAGGACTCTGATCAGGGACTCTAGTGCAGAGTGGTGCTTGTGTTTCTCTCTGCTGGTACAGTGCATCCAAGAAACTACTTATGATTTAACTTCTTCTGAGACTAAGTTCTGCTGCCCAGAATTGTAAGCCTTGGTTTGTTCCTATCCTGAAAATCCTGGAGATCCTGTCCGGGTCTTTAGACCTCATTAGGAAGGTAAAATATCCACCTCTGGACTTCACCCAGCCTCAGCACCAACTTGCCAAAGGAGGAGCCATGTGCAGAACTACCATCAGGCCATGTGCAGGAGTGTTATCAGGTACCCCACTGTGGATTAGCACCTCTGCAGAGTGCTGACAGCCCACATGCACTTGGGGATTAACCTCTGATGCTGGAGCGTTAGCACTGTGTGCCCTAGGGCTTCTCTTTGCTATTACATCGAGTGGACAGGCAGTCTTTCTGGAGATGCCAGTGATGACCCTGGTAAAGCACATACATGGTTACCACAGAGCAGCTAATGCAGTAAAGTAATGCCCTTGGTTGCCTTCTGTTAAATATTTCAGTCCTTAAGAAACACCCTTTGCATTGAGTGGGAATGTGCTCCATTACAAATGGTGAATCAGAACTTGTGCATCAGGTTAGATGCCATCAAAGGTGTTAGGCTTAGGCTAGGTTGTGCAGGAGCTCAGCAGTGAAATGACTAAACTGAAGCTGCCGTGCAGCTTGTCGTGTCTCCAGGCTCAGGTCCATAGCCTTTCCATTTTGCTCTACTGCAAACTCTGCTGGTTCTGGAGGCTCCCTTGTGCTTACTGCAAGGGACAATTACGGGACATGAAGGAAGTGCTGGAGATGTTCTGTTCTGTCTTTTGAAGCCCAATATTGTAGCTGATTCTGTACAAGGAAGAAGGTAGCTATGGAATCTCCTGTGACAGGGACTGCTGCACAGAATGCCAGGCACTTATCTAGGTCACAGTAAGTGATGCTAGATTCTCTTTTGTGACGTATTTCTGAACTTGCCAGCTAGGGGAAGCAAAAAGTATTTTTCACATTGTTTCACATTTCACATTGGACAAACATAAATGAACAAAAAGAAAATGCAGTGGCTGTTCTGTACAGCATGTGATGGCTCTTCATAGTTTTATTTTGTATTTCTTCTGTTTTTAAAGCTTTATTGCTATTAAGTAATCAGGTCTGCAACTGATAAAACTATGGTAGCAATTTTTCTTGGGCTAAGCGTTTTTTCAAGTTTTCCCTCAAATTAATGTAGTAGTCAAACCAGTTTGAGTATCTAGGTGTGGTATTATTGGGAGGGAATTTCTTATTTAGCAGCAATCACCCTTTTATTTAAAAAAGTAACAATTGAAATAGTCTGAACAATCCAATATACTTTACCCTGTGCTAAGTGAAATCCCATAAATAACTGGAATTCATTTAACATATTAAAGGAGTCAGATATTTCTAAAAACAGATTTACAGCAGTCATTTCCTTCCAGTCCAGAAGGCAGTGACACAGGAGTGACCCAGGCATGGAATGAAAAGCACTAAGAGATTTTCACATGCACCAAGCAAAAAACATTTACAGTCCCCTGCTTGAGTTGCCAGCACTGGATCTCCGGCACGGGTCCAGAGGTGATGCTCAGCCTCCATTAAGTCCAAAGGAGGGTGGGTGTTCATCTTGTTGAACGTCTTGTTTTTATTTCTATGAGTAGAAGGTCTCCTCAGAGGGTCCAATGGAAGATGAAACAGCAATGTCTTGAAGACAAACCTTTCATCTTTCCTCTCACAGCAGAGAACAATGGAGAAGGATTTAGGAGAACCTGTCGTATGTCTGTCTGTATAGCTAAAGACATTTCTGGTTCCCTCACCTGGTGGTGCAGCCTGGCTGTGTTTGCAGCACATGGAGCTTGCAGTGTTCTTCACCAGCCTCCTCTGGTGTATCGGTCCTGACCAGGTGCCTGTCCAGCCCTGTTGTGGCCAGGGCTGAGGAAGAGAAGGATTGTGCAGGAGGCCTTACCATAGGTGTATGAACCCTTCTCTCCAAAACAAGGACCTTGTTGGCCTAGTTGGAATATCCGCCGTCCCAGCAGAAGTGGAAGTCTAGCCTAGGCCTAGTGGATCACGGGCCTACCAGGTGCTTTGAGTGTTGCTCACACACAGGAGGCTGGCACAGCTTCCACACACTGGGGACGTGTAGGCCAAACGTTTTTAAGCATTAAGAGGTTTTCAGGTACGCTTCTCAGTTACTGCCAAGCCATCTGGTTGAAAGCAGCACTGCTTGGTGGTACAGAAGTACCCAGGCACGTACAGCGCCATGAGCAGGAAGACAGGATTATGAACCCTGAGGGGAAATGTTGGGATTGTTTTTTCCCTAGTAATGGCCTAAAATAACAAGAGGCCTGCTCAGGTGTTTGAGAAAGTTTTATTTTCATAACTCAACACAAGAGGTGTGGTGGTTGCTTTGGTATGTCTTTGGGGCACGGCACAAGGGTGTGTGTGCTGAGATAGCACTGACGCACCGTGCAGGGCATAGCAAGCCGGGTTTGGCACACCGTGTCCAGGATGCCTAGCTTCTTTTGGAGTGACCTGTCCCCCAGCTTGCCACGTAGGCTGTACTGGCTCATTAGGTCCAGATTAGAGCTTAGCAGCAAACCAATTTAAATGCCACCAAACAATCAGGAGAGCTTGGAAGCTGTGTAGATGCAGCCAGAGAATAATTATAACTATTCCCTCTCTCTGATACGTGTTCCCTCTCATTTGCCAATTCTCCTCTGAGAAAAGAGGAGACCCCTTTCCTCTGGATCCGGAGAACATTGCTGGGTTGACTTCTCTGTAGTACAGCGCAGGATCTGTCCCTAGATCCTACAGGTCCTTCTCTTTCTTGTGCCAGGTGGACAAGAGGCAGTGCTTCATTTTCAACAGAGATGAGGAGGAGCAGAAACTCAGCATGCTGTCACAGGAGAAAAGTGCTCAGTTTCTGTAGTTTACACCAAATCAAGACCAAAGAATTCTATTGACTTAAAAATGACATGTGCTTAACCATCAGTCACACTGCTTTTATACTTTTGTTCATACTGGCTCCATCTTTTTTCCCTCCCAGTCTCTCAAATTCCCCAGTTCCTGTTTAATCCGTCTGATGGTTGATTCCTCTTCAACGTAAGCAGTCTGGGGCAAACACCCTGTTTTGTGCATTTGATCCACATGCATCAGTGTGCACACAGAGTTTGTACTCGTTTTCTCTTCTTCCTCGTGATTCTATAAACCATGCCATTACTAAGGGTGGGCTCTGCCTTGGTGCATCCACTGCACTCGGTGAATAGCAGGGATGATAATTTCTGCAAGAATTTTCTAAGTGGTCTTTTCTATTCCTCGTGGATCTCACTGCAGCAGCAGGATGTGAAGCTTCATTTCAGCAGTAAAAGTGTAAGTGGATACAAATCTTGGTCTTCAAGGGGGACAAATGTAATAGGCTGTAGCCCCCATAGGCATGAATATAAATAAGGCATCGCTTAATTAAAAACTGTCATCAGATCATCTGTTTCTGAATGTGATTTTAGGACTACACAAAATTATTTTGCTAAGGGCACAATTTGAACTTCTGATAGTATTGGGTCTTAAACAGATTATTTGCCATAAATCTGGAGGTTAGGAAATCTTTAGTATTTTAATCATTTTACAGAGGAGCAGGCAGTACGGAGATACTGGGATGCCAGGAACTACTAAAGGACAGAAGTAGATTAGAAAATTATCTCCTATTTTTCCATAAAGGCTGTTGCAGGATTCATACATAAAGTGAAGCAGGTATTTGGTGACCAAAGGGAAGTTCACTTTTGATTTCTGTTATCAGTCACTCTCCAGACAGAAATAAGAATATACTTGAAAGAAAGTTATGGTGGTTTGGCAGTCCTCCCATTAAGGTTGGGTAGTATGATTAATTCTCTGTGGTTTTGCAAGACTCACATTAGAAAGTTAGCTCTTGAAAGTTAACTTAGCCAGTTAAATTCCCTCCAGGCAAAGACCCCGTGTCTCCCTTGAGCTGTACCGTGGGAATGGGCCCCGTGTAAGTGTGGGTGGTGTCAACGCCATCGTATTCTCCAACAATGACATGTTCTCAAAAACGTAACCATTTACTCGCTGTGTTTTGGACACTGTAACTATAGCTCAGCTAAGGGAAACGTTTTGTGGCACGTCCACGTATCTGCTGATGCAATTCAAGTGACATTTGAGTGTCATTTCCTATGTAAAACATAAAGCTGAGAATATCTGATTATCTGAATTTGAATTGCCACGCATGGGAAGACAGGATATTCTTGTGTACTTTGAAATTTAGTGGAATTTTCTTATCCGTGCTGAGTAAACTTCTTCTGTTGTTTTTTGTTTTTTTAAACCCATCCTTGAGATTTTATGATGACTAGTGAATTAACAATTAACTGAAGTAACCAGAATAAAACCAATATTGTTTGTGGCAGACGTGGTCAGTATAAAATGAAGGTAAACAGCAAAACCGAAATGACTCTGCCTTTCTTTTCCTAACATCTAGAGCTGGCCCAGGAGGATGTAGCAAGGTCTTTTCATTTCAAATGCACACTGTTACAGTTGCATTGCAGATGTTTGAATTTAATGATCATTTATTTAGACGTGAGCAGTTTTTGCATTTTTTCACGTTTGCATATTAGTGTAACATCAGCGCGTTGTTATGCAGAACGTGTTGAGCTCTCCATAGCACATGGGTTGTGCTCCCAGCTCTGCTCATCTCAGCTAGGTACGGGTGGAGTTCTTTCCTTGCAAAACATCAGTCCTGGGACATGGTCAGGCAATCAGGAGTGTGCTGCCAAAAGCGGGTTCCTTTGAATGCGAGGCAGAAACTCAAAACATGTGCGTTCCCAGTCTGCTGTGAACATGGGTGAAATGCAATAGCATTGCTTGCTGGTACAGGGTAACCCCTCTTACACACAAGATGTAAGCACGCATTTGGTTTCTACATCTCAGCTGAGAGGCTGTCACCCTCGGTGACTGTCTGAGCATGCCCTCTGAATTCATGATACCTTTGATATGGCGGTATTGGATGTCTTACAAATAATGATAAGATATGTGGGTGGATTTCTCAGCCTCTCCCTAGCCCCTGGGGTAAAGCTACCTTAGCAGATTGAGCTGGTTAAAGGGGAGTTAGAAATGTCTGTGAGCTGGGGTTTTACACTGGAAACACTCATCTATCACAGCACTCATGCTCATCTGGACGCACAAGAGTGTCACCGTACAGCAGCACTGTAGAAGCCAGATGAAATGGGAAGGGCTGAGGATAGACTTTGGTGCAAAGTCAGCAGCAGGAAGAGGACAATCAGGGGTGTCCCGACTCAGAGGACTAGCAGCAGTCTTTGAATGACTTCCCAGTATGCTGGACCAGGAGTGTGGCACAGGACGGTGCCCTTTGCCTGTGGGGGTGTCTCTGAGCACAGGAAGGAGTCAGTGCACACTGGCTCTGCCTGGTCTCCTCTCCATCTTCTAGAGCTGTTTAAGGACCTCCTTACAGCTTTTGCCATCACTAAAATAAAGCATTTGTACTGTTCCTCACTGCTACTCTGGTGTGGTGGCCCATTTGGGACAAGTATGCCTCATTAGCCTAGCTCCTAGCTGCAGGTCAGTACTATGTGTAGACCTGGAATCCAGCTTTTACATGTTTTTTAATTTCAGAAAACTAACGTGTCCACTGTGACTCGTCTTCCAGCTCGTCTGCTGTCCTGTTCTCAGGATAGCAAAACTGTGGGACAGGAGTTTGACCATTGGCATTAGTCCTGCCCTGCAATATTCCGGTGGAGAGCTGGGTCATGGAGTCTCAAACAAGAGCCATTGCTTTTGTGCAAGGTGCTTTGCAGGAAGCAGGCTAACAGGATTTTCTTTACAAGTTGGGAAGGTGTTGGCCCTGCAAGCTGGCACCAGGCATTTCATGTGCAGATGTAGCCAAATACCTTGTTCTGGATTTTGTGCTTAGTTAGTAGTAGTTTTCCTTTGAGCAGAGACAATAAGAGGAAATCTTTGACAACAGAAATGGCGACTTGCTAATGACTTCCATTCCTGCTTTCTTTCCTCTCAGAACATCCCCACCCTGGGAAGCGTAGCAATAACCATGGCGCTCCACAACTGTGATGAGGTGGCGGTAGCTGGGTTTGGCTATGACATGAGTTCCCCCAATGCACCGCTGCACTACTATGAGAACATCAAGATGTCTGCCATCAAAGAGGTAGGGAGCTCCTGCTGAGCACGTCTTCTTCCCAGGCCCACCGACCACCCCGACCGCGGAGCCTGCCCGGGACGGTGATCGACTTCCAGCTTTCCTGCGTGGGCCAAACGACAGCTCCACCCAGGCATTTGCCCGTAAAACTCCAGACATTCCCCCAAGCGCAATGTGTGTTAAAAACAGTTATTTCTGCTGGGAAAAGTTCTCTGGAATGTGCATATAATGTGATTCCTTATTCTCAGAGCGGCAGAGAAAAGCTCTGTGTAAACGCTGAGCGGGGTGCAAGGGAACAAATATGCTCAGGGGTTGAAAAGATGTGGCCTGCTACAGCTTTGTGATCCGTTGTATTGCTCTCTAATCCTCGTGCTGCTTCTGCTAGATGATCCCCTGCTCAGCCCCTGTGAAACGTGGGGGAGGTGAGATTAGCCTGTGCAGGCTGACCAGAGCAGCAGTTAACTAGTGTAAACGCATGGAGGCTGCTCTTCAAAGCCACATCTGCCTTCGAAACATTTGCTGGTGCTGTCCCAGTGAGATGAACAGCACTTTTCTAGGAACAAAAGCTCTCATGGTGGTATAACGCAGCAGTATTTCAGGTCTGGCCATTTTCTGCGCTGAACTAGAGCAAGCTTTGCCACTGGCCTCAGCACCTTCTGTAGTAGGAAGAGCTGCTGACTTTTTGGTAGAGCCCAGTCCTTTCTGGCACAGGTATGGCCCAGGTCTTTCTAAAATTGTTCCTCCTCTTGACTGGCTTCACTGAACAGAGGAACTTTCTCTGTCCTACTGCGCATTGTGAAAACAGTGATGTTCAGAGGGAGAGAACGCTTGTTGTGTTGTTCATGGACAGCTGCTGTCTGCTGGCGCTTGTATTTGTCACCTCAACTGCTGTGCCATTGATCCAGGTCAGGAGGAAAGCATGGAGGTTGTGTTTTTCCAAATCATAAGATCATAAATATCCTGGGACTCAGGCTGGACAACCTTAGGCTGACTGAGAGGAATTAGCAATGGGTACCAGTCAGCTTGGGAAATGGGAAGAGCATTTCTAATTGTCATAGCAATGAGGCTTTGGAACAACCTCTCAGTAGAGACCAAGAGAAGAAACTAAGATTGGGAAAAGACTGTGAGGAGGTCCCTAAATATGTCAAGGAAAGTACCTCATGATACATCCTTGTGATCCTGAGGTACCTTCTGGGCCTGTGGAGGTAGCAGGAAAGTCTGTCTCTTCCAAGACAGTCTGCTCTTGGACGTGGGGACACTCACAGCAGGTGTCCTGTGCCAAGCTTGGTTTGCAACCTAGAAGATGTCTCTAGCATCAGGGACACCCACACAGGAGCTGACAAGAATGAAGTCGTCTTGCTCTTGCTCCTTGCACGGGTCAATGGAAAGAGTTGGCAAAAGGCACTGGATGACAGGCTGCGGCCCTCTGCTGCAGGAGAGGCATAAAAATGCTCCAAGGCCTCCCCCGGGAGGCACTGATGCAGCCTGCAGTACCTAGAGGGAATGGGTGGGCCCTGGCACTCGGTGTCACTCTTGCACCCGCCCACCCCCTTGTGCCAAAAGCTGCCGAACATCAGCAGGGTGCAGAAAAGCTCTTACAAACATCACTTTCTCGAAAGAGTTCAGAGGAAAAAGTCAGGAAGCACCATGGAGAGGGGTGTGCAGTGAAGTAGGAGCTCTGCTGTGAGTGAGCTTCCCATTTCTCCGTCCCCTTCTTGGCCACCTTCTGCCGTGTTCCTCATTGCTGCCAGCAGGCTGTGCCTGGCACCCTGAGCCCTATCACACCCACATGCATTTAGTCCTGCTTTTCCAGCGCCTGCCACCCCATCTTTTGGCTCCTGAGAGCTAGCCAGTGGACACATCTGAAGTTGCCAGTGCAGATTGCTTGGGTTTTTGATTCTCGAGGTCAGCACCCTGAGCAAGCTGCAGAAGCCAGCGGGAGACAGGAGGAGGTCACTCTTGGGCACTTCATGAGGTCTCAGGGATAAAGCTGGTAATGCACAGGGCACGGATGGGGGTGAACATGTGAAATGCAACCCCGTGGGTCTCCGATAGAGACCAGTCCGTGCCTGGTTTGACAGGCTTCTGTTGTCTGGGAGCTGTCAGTCGGCATGTCCAGGCTGTTCTGTACGGAGGTGAGGGAGCGTTGAAAGGGCTGGTGGAGCCTCACTAATTTAGATGTCAGTGGGTTTGTTTCCACAGCCGGGGCTGCTGATGAGAGCTCTGCTGAGCTGGTGCTGGGAGGAAGGTTCCTGTTCCCTCTGAAGGCAGGTTATATGATCGCTGTCTGCCTGTCTAATCCTCACGTGCTCACCCGCAGGCTCCTCTTACGTTTCTCTGCCGTGGTACAAGAAAAGCCATCTGTTCCTGAGTATCAATAATTAATGCCCCTCCTGCCTCTGCCCCTCCCTATATGACAAATCGTTTGTGATATTGTGGAATGTGAAGAGCAGAAAGAGGATTGCATTTCTTTCTCTCCCATTTAATATTAATGGTAGCTGGTAATTGTTAGTCACCTGAGGGTGAAGTTGAAAGACAAAGGACACGATAGGTGGGTTCTGTCTTCTGCAGTTGTCCTCAGGTAACTCACGAATGAAGATTTGCCCCACTCTGGACTGGAAGCACTCTGCACACTCACTCAGAGACCTGCACCTGGTTTGCAAATCTAGAGGCTGACTTTCATTGGCACCTTGTGGCAAACCTTGCCATTGGTATTGGCGAATTGAGAGCGACCCAGAGCCAAGCTCACAAAGGTTTTCATCTCTTCCATCTGCTCTGATACCTAAAGGCCCACTGGGGCATCTTCCTCGGTGTTACCTTTGGACCTCCAGGTTTGTGTCTGCATCTAGTTCTTCCTGGTCCTCCAGGAAGCTGAGAGTGTTAAATAATGGTGAAGTAGGGGTGGAAACTGAGCCCAACTGAAACTGCACCAGCAGGCACCTGGGGGCTCTGATGGTCCCAACACCTACAGCTTCATTCTTGTGGCTGTAAGAAGAGAGCAAGCAGCGTGCCAGGCATGGCCCTGGCTGGCTCCCTAAACACGACCCCATCCCATAATCCGACTGCCAGGCTCCTCCAGCCTGAATGACTGACAAATCTTCAGTGTTTAAGCCTCGAGAGCAGCTGCAGGGAAGCACTCCAGCTCCACCCTGAAACCATCACTGTCTTTACAGAGGAAATGTAAACATCGACGTCCTGGGGCTGGAGGTGCTACATGTGTGTGTGGCATATGGGATCCTCGGAGACATCCATCCATCCCGTTCCCTTGTCTCATGTCTGCAGGGGAAGGGGCCTGCAAGGAGCGTGCACCCTCTCAGCAAGGTGTGTCACTGATTTACACTTGAGGCCTGCTTGACATCTCCCTGGACACCCTTGAAACCCTGTGATTCATCTCTGAGGAATTTGTTCTGATTACATAAAAAAAAAAAAGCCAGCAAAATATACTTGCTTGCTCACAGCTGGGCGGAGATGCCTCTCCCATGCCAAGACTGAGGTGATAAAATCTCTGTGGAAATGCATGTGATTTTTCCTGTTGCTCTGTGGGATCAATGGCTGCATTTCCAAGAGGCGATCGGGCAGCCTGGGTGTACAGTTTTGCTTAGTCTTTGCTTTCCCCGATGGGGTAGAAGCCCTCAAGGTCCCAAACTGTGCTGGATTGCTACCGCAGGAGGCAGCTGCCTCCGCTGCTTCTTGCAGCATCTCAGACTCCCAGGGGCTGGACAGACATTTCCTGCTCCCAAGGAAAAGGCTCCACGAGGAGGCAGGTGCTGTGGAGCTTTATCTGTGGTACCATTCAGGATGATGGATGCAGTGATTAATCCCATAGGGTCCTAGTGTGGCTGCAAAAGGCACGTGGATTCTCCTGCTCCTGTGAGTGCCCATGGGAATAAATTTCTCTGGTTTATACCTGGGTGGTTTCCTTACCCCCTGTCCTGGGAGAGCAGGCAGAGCAGGAGAGCATGCTCTAGAGAACATGCTCTGGAGAGCAGGGAGCATGCTGGCATGGTGCTTTCAGGCTGTGAGCTGGAAAATCAGCGCTTGCAGTGCAAAACTGCATCACAGCTCCACTGCCCAGCACCTTCTCCCCTGATATCATCTTCTCCCCGTTGTGGCTGGGGATGCAAAGTCCTGGCCTGCATTTCCATGAGGGTTTTCTGGGCGCTGTGACCGTGCTGCTCTCTGGTCTGTTACTGGGGGACAGCTGCTCCATAGACCTCATGCCATCGTGTGAATTCTCACAAGTCATTTTTTTAGCTCTGATCTTTTTTGTTCTAACTTACAAAACGCAGAAGGTCTAAGCCTGTCATCTCCCTTCAGTTACTATTTTCCCTATTTCCAGTAACTTGTAACAGCTTTCGACCCTTGGCTGCTTCCCTGAGCGCTGTACAGAAAATGAATGAATCCTTGCCAAGGTGTATGCTCACTTGTTTCTGTTTGCATGGTGATGAGCCATCAAGCTGATTTTTTTTATATAGTTTATTATATTTTTATTTCTTGCCCATGTCCTGTAGTGCTTCCTGCCCAAGTACTCCATAAAAGTGTATTTTTGCCACAGGTCACTGTCTCCTGTTAATGTAGGAGAAGTGTCAGATCCACTGGGAACATAAAGAAGGAAACATGGAAATGGAGGTGAGGAAAAAAGGAATCGTTTTAAAAGGGAGTGAAAGGTTTTCAGGATTAAAAGAAAATGAATGAACCCGCCTGTCTTACAATACAACTTCACGGCTAATGGCAAAGCAGGTTAGTGTTTCAGGCAGAAATTACTGCAGGATGGGAAAGTGACAGTGTTTAGAGTAGTAAAAACATACCCGACAGGCGCTGATGAAACCGAGAGCAGGAGGCTGTGATAAATCATGAGAACGAAGCACGGCACCAGCTCCCAGCATCCTTCCCCGGTGCGCTCTGCCCTGGCTGGCACCACACAGCCTTCCCCGCGCTCAGGGCTGGTACAAATGGGGAACACGTGCTTAAAAGCCACCCTTATCAGCCAGATCCCATCTGGGGCTGTG